ACAGAGTAAATGGAGACTTTGCTCAAAAGTGACATTTCAGATGCTGAGATTTGCCAAGATAAGTCTGTAATCGAAAGCCTTGAGATATAAACTCAATAGTTTCTCATCAAATCATCTGTGTTGCTCCACATTCATTGTATAGCTCTATGGTCTTGCTGTAAGGCAACTATTGACTCGCTTGTGTCCATTTCCTCAGGGTCTATGAAATGCTTCAGTATTAATTAAATAGAATCACACTTAAACTCTACATTAGCAAAGACCAAATGGACCCACATCTAGAGAACCATATTAGGCAGAAACCTCCTCCAGTGAGGACGATTACGAGTCTCAGACTAAACCATAGAGTCTGATGAGATTCAGGATGACTGTGTTCAGGGCAGAAACCTCCTCTGACCGTGTGATTGGACACCAACTAATGAGCGCAGAGGAAAGTGTGTGTAATTATGTCTCCATCCTCTCGCCGAACTCTGAACTCTGGCGGAAACAAAGGGTCGGTCCCAGAGACGAGGGAAAATCCTGAAGCACCGTCCCTGAGCCACAGTTATCTAGAGAGCATAAATAAAGTGTAGACGGAGCGCAGAAGTGTAAACCGAGAGCTGCTTTAAGTCATACGTCACGCTAAAAACTGTGGGGTCCATTGTGTTGAAATCTTCCAGGAAACAGCTGTGTGATGTCACGAGTGTACACTAGCAGTCAAGAGTTACGATTTTTTATGTTTTTTAAGGAAGTCTCTTTTGCTCACCGAGCCTGCATTTATTTGATCCAAAATACAGCAAAAACTGTATTTAACAGAGATTCACATAGAAAACAGCCGTTTTACATCGTAATAATATTTTAAAATTGTATTGTTTTTGCTGTATTTTGGATCAATTAAATGCAGGCTTGGTGAGCAGAAGAGACTAAAAAACATCACAAATTTTGATTTTGATATTTTGATTTTTTTTTTTTTTACAGAAAACAAGACATAATATCTTAAGTAATTTTACTTGTACAATAAATTAATCTTGATTCAAGAATGTTTAGATATTTATACTGCAGAACTTGTCCTTCGGCGAGAGCACGCTGGCTGCGTTGGAAGTCTTGCACCTTCAGGGAAACGCTCTGAGCATGCTAGACGCCGGGATTTTCTCAAGGCTCCCCAACATACGAAGCCTTCACCTTCAGCAAAACCTGTTTAGCATCTGTCCTTCTCTCAAGGGTCCAATGCACGACTGCATCCGACTGTCCTCTATCCCGACCCTGAGCTATCTGTACCTCTCGGAGAACAGTCTTGCATCGGTTCCACCAGGCGCGTTTCGCGGAAGCCCGCTGCTTATTCTGGATCTTTCTCAGAATGCCGACATGGGCTTGGGCCCGTCATCTCTCTCAGGTTTGGAGACGACCCTCGCCCATCTTTCTCTAAGAGGAAACCAGCTCCGAACCCTAGCCGTCGACTTCACCTTCTTCCGGAAACTCAAGTCTTTGGATCTGTCAGTGAACCGACTCACGGGGGTCTCTCTGTGGAGCGGAGATTCTTCTGTGGAGTCCTTGAACCTGCAGAATAACAGTTTGGTAACGCTTGCATCTGACACGGTTTTCGCTCTGCAGAAATCGCTCCGGACTTTATACGTGGGCTCAAACCCGTTGAGCTGCTGCGGAAACCCATACCTCCTCACGTTGCTCCAGCAGGACAGACTGAATGTGCCGGACATCGCCGCCGCAACCTGCTGGTACACCAGAGACTCGGAGAGCGTTGAGATCAGCGTGAGCGCCGTGCAATCGGAGCACTGCGAGTCTGTGGACGGGAAAGTGTTGTGGATCAGCGTGATCGTCGTGCTCGCGCTCGGACTGACGCTGGTGTCGGTGGTCGCCTTGAAACTCTGTCACTCGAAAACGCACGGATTCAAAAGAGGCATCAAAGCTTGAGTCAAAAGAAGGAAAAGAAACCAAAGCATTCTCACCTGACTGTGGTGCCGCATGCATGACCGCTGGGTTTCAGTATGTGATGCGTGGGTGGATCTGGAACAAGTTCAGTGTCAAATCCTGATCGCCATCCTTTGCATTCACATCAGTTGTGACATTTGCTATTTAAACAGAAATGCATGCAATATTCACAGAATAAACTGGTGAGGGTAAAGCACGTTTTTGTGCTGATTTTCTGCAATAACACTACACTTTCTGATGCACGCACTTTATCGATTGTGATTTGTGAATATGGGAGTGAAATGTACATGCATAATGTGAAAACTGCATCAACAAGTTGCGAACAGATGCAAGATTGACTGGAGAGGGTTGTAAAGTGAGACGTGATTGTAGGAGTGTGTTTTCAATTTGTGTCCCTGGAGCACAAAAGCAGTGTTAAGTCGCTGGGGTATATTTGTAGCAATAGCCAACAATACATTGTATGGGTCAAAATTATACATTTTTCTTTTATGACAAAAATCATTAGGATATTAAGTAAAGATCATGTTCCATGAAGATATTTAGTAAATTTCCTACCGCAAATATATCAAAACTTAAT